TGAAGGCTATGTGGAAAGAAACCTGCATAACCGTGTTAGGAAGGAAGGAGGAACAAGGCAAGGAATGGATCTCGACAGACACATGGAAGCTGATAGAGGAGGGAGAGGAAGATGGTGAAGCAGAAGATGAACCAGTGCAGTGCAGGGATGCACAACGAAAAGCGAAACTGGGTGTAACGTATAAAACACTGGACAGAGAAGTGAAGAAGAGTGCGCGCAAAGACAAAAGACACTTCTACGACACATTGGCAAGTGAAGCAGAATAGGCTGTAGGTAGGAGAGAGAGGGACCTGACACTATTGTATCACATAACCAGGTTACTATCTGGGAAGAGATCAACACGGATGAGAACAATCAGAGATAGTGAAGGAAGGCTAGTTAGCAAAGAGAAGAAACAAAGGGAACGATAGGTCGACCACTTCAAGAAGCTCTTGAATCGACCACCACCACCACCACCTGCAATTCGTTCGGAAATACCACCTGCAGCCGCAGAACTACACGTGAACACAAATCCCCGAACAAAAGTGGAAGTTCTGAACGCCATAAAGCTACTGAAACATGGGCAAGCAGCAGGACCAGATGAAATCTCGCCAGAACCGCTGAAAACAGACGCAGAGACAACAGCGGACATGCTCATACCACTATTGCAGAAAGTCTGGAAGGAAGTAAAGGTATCTACCAAGTGATTGGAAGAAGAGTTACCTTGACAAACTCCCGAAGAAGGGAGACCCAAGCCTTTTCAAGGACTGGCGTGGAATCTGCTGCTGTCCACTCGAAGCAAAATCTAATGCCACATCATCCTGGAGAGACTAAAGGATGTGCTCGATTCAAAATTACGACCGCAACAGGCTGGCTGGATTCAGGGAAAGCAAATCATGTGCGGGTCGAATTGCAACGCTACACTACGCATCATCATAGAACAGAGCATAGAATGCCAGTCAACCCTCTACCTCAACTATATCGACTTGAGAAAGCCTTTGACAGCGTCGACCGAGAAGTAGTTTGGCAGGCAGCTGCTTCAACACTACGGAGTGCCGCAAACCTTTATCAACCTCATTCAACAACTATATGACGACGCCACATGTCAAGTGATTCACAATGGAAAGCTGAGCTCAGTGACGCCTTCGAAGTGAAGACAGGAAGGAGTAAGACAAGGCTGCCGCCTACTATCACCGATCATCTTCTTAATTGTGGTCGACTGGATTATGCAACAAACTGTGAGGATTGAGAAGAGGGGCATACGCCGACTGGCTTGACCGGTGAAGAGACCCTACACGATTTCGCCGATGATCACTTATGTCTAATCTCTTGTGGCACAAACTCGAAGATCCACAGGCAAAAGCCAACAAGTTGACAGAATAGGCAGGGCAGCGAAGACGGGACTTCCTTCAAGTGAACATAGAGAAGACAGAGGTGATGAAGGTACCAAACCAATAACAACAGCAGCAACAAGCTCCAATCACAATCAACGGCAGAAACTTAAAGGAAGTAGCCTCTTTCACCTATCTAGGCAGCACTATTTCAACTACAGGCGGCACATACGAGGATGTCAAAACCAGGATCGGAAAAGCAAGACAGGCGTTCATTAACCTGAAACCAGTGTGGAGATCCACTAAACTTAGCATGTGTAACAAGATCCGGATTTCCAACACCAATACCAGTCAAGTCAGTGCTTCTGTATGGCTCAGAAACTTGGCGCGTCAGGAAAAGCACTTCCAACAAACTACAGACATTGATCAACAACTGCCTACGCTCGTTACTGAAGATCAGATGGCCAGAAAGAATAAGCTATAAGGAACTCACCCTGGAAACGAACTAACCAAGAACCTGTCGCTGAACAAATATGCACTGGAAGGAAGTTGAGATGGATCGGGCATACACTAAGAAGGCCGACTGGGGACATCATGCATCAGGCCCTCGAGTGGAACCCAGATGGGAAGCTACGAGTTGGGCATCCGAGGTGAGGGCATCATGGAGGAGATGGTGTGGGGAAGAAATGAGAGATTGTGGGCTGTCGTGGAGCCAGGTTTAAAAGATTTCAGAGAACAGAGCGCATTGGAGACATGCTACTGAAGCCCTATGTTCCATTAGGAACCCAAGGGACAAATAATAATATAATAGTAAGCTTTTTCGCTATCACTTAAGCATTTAAGTAGGCCTACTTTAACTGAAATGGGGTGGGATGATTCGAAGTCTAAGTAGCGATTCGAATGGGTAGGTTTCCTATAGAAACTAGTCTATGGATTTTCGTCTTATGTTCGTTTTATCTAGCAATCCAACATTGCTAGCTCACGTTCTTCACTTTCTAAGTCACAGGTAAGTTGGATTGCATTCACTACTGAATTTATATGTGGAAAGAACCTGTTGGTGTGTTCCGATTTCGGTACTGTAAACGTATCATCTACATATTGGAACCATATCTTTGGAGTAGGACTAAATGTTTGAAGGATCATCTGTTCCCAGCTATCCATAAATGTATCTGCAACGATACGGCGTATTTATGATCCTATGGCAACACCTTCAGTTTGTTTATATATTTTATTTTGAAACTTAAAAACTATAGATGCTAGGCACAATCGTACTACTAGTATGATTTTCTCGATCGGCACCTTAGTTCAATGCGTAAGTGTCCGAAACGTTATCCAGTAAATGCTACTGTTTCACTGGGTGATATTTCTAATAAACAGACTGAAAGTGTGACGGTATCTCGAAAGAAGTCAGAGTAGACACTGAGACGAAAAGTGAAGTCAAACGGGGCAGCAAAGATAACTTGTTGAGAAATTACAGTCGGTACTCATAAAAATACTGTTACATTTGAAAACAGTATTCTTGTTCGACATCTCAGTGTGCATTGTCCTTGTCCTTCATTTTCCTACACCATGTGTCTTATTCCTTCCCGAATATTCACCAGTCGATTGTTATCACCTTTTGTGTACTCCTATGTTGTGCAATATACAACTGATTTATACTCTTATAATTAACCTTGACGACAACTGTAAAACACGACAACTGCTGTACTATGCGTGTTTCAGAAACATTTTCTCCTTACCAGTCACTTATCTCAATATGGCGTACATTTATGAAGGCAAATATTTATGTTCGTTATTAACTTGTAGTTACAGTTTTGTAATCAGTAAAAGATATCTGAAATTTTGTTGAAAGTATTTAGACCTATTTAAAGCATTGATAACTTCAGTTAACACAATTCCTAGTCGTCTGAGACTTCAACAACACAGTAGTATTGCAAAAGACATGGAAAGAAAATTTTAACATGTACAGTATTATATAATGCCTTAGATTATGAAAATGAGATAAAAACGGTATCAGTTTCATACATCATCTACGCTATCCTCCTACTATTTTAACAAAGTTAACATAAGTGAACATACAGTTTCTAGCAAAACTAAGATCAACTAATGTCAGTTTGTTCTACGAAGAAGCTTTTAGTCTTTTTGTACTACAATAAACATAACTTATTGAGATAGAGGATGAGTTAGTGAAACTTGACGACACTATCAAGTAATTCATTGCTCATAGAATATTTGATATCTGATCTTATACTGTAAACCTTCAACCACAAGATCTTATATTGATTTCGAAGAAAGAGAAGTACTATTACCGAATATAAATTTATGCGTGGAAGAGATGTCTGATTAACGCAATAACTAGAACAATCTCTGAGTTTGAAGAAAGTCAATAACAGAAAACAACCTGAACACGAACAGACAGTTTGTAAGCAAAAAGATTGTTGAACTGACATATTGAGGTGGATACAGTAACTCAGTCGAAATACATCTGCACTGAGGAAATACAGGCAAACGTATTCTCTGTGCCTAATAATATATAAGTAATTGAAGTTGACCATTAAAAATAATTCTGATCCAGAAAAGTTTTCAGCTTTGATGATGATGAAGTAGACATTTCATAAATGCTATCACTAGGACAACAAAGATAAGTGGAAAATTGTCAATTAATGTTACAACACAAACCAAACCAACATATAAACGATTGTATCACATCTCTTTGTGTTTATCAATTTACATGTAAGTGTGGACATATATAAATAGGGAGGAGTAATCGTGATATCCAGTTAAGGATGGTTGAACATATACCTAAGTGACTTCAAAAATAAATAACCTCAACAGATCCGATAAGTACAGGTGACAAACGTCCATCTTCATCTATTGCAAAACACATACTAGAAACTAATCACAGGGTAAGCATGAAAACAGCTTTTAAACTACTAAATAAAAGTAATCAGGGTCAAGTACTTAAATGAATCGAAGCTCTTATCATCCGTAAATTCAAACCCCCTGCTTTATGTACACAAAAAAAATTTGTACTCATATTGAATCTACCTTGGTAGTAGTAACTTAACTTTTTATACCAAAAGTGATGTGATTACGGTTTCGTTTTCTTTTCTCTGCCCTTCCTGTTTTTATGTTTCCTATTGGCTTCATTGACCCTTTTTGTAAATTAATATTTCCTCGCCTAAAACACTTACAATTAGGTCTTTCCTCTTTAAAGTACCAGTAAAAGACAATTTTTCAGGTTTTTGTATGTTTACGTTAACGAAGGTGAAAAGGAGTAAATGCAGAAAGATATTGAACAATCTGAACTAGTAAATATTATCAAGGGATAAAAGTGGTACGTAGTTTCTGACAGAAAAATGCAAGGAAGACTGTCAGGCTGGGAAAAATCAACAATTTAGGTCTGGCAATAAACTGGATACTTATGTACATGTAAACATGTGACTGAATGTAAATCAAGAGAACAGTCAGTATCAACATGAGACTTGACCTTACTAGGTAATCTTTCACGTTGCCTAACCACATATGGAACTATCAAGATAGAAATAAGACGAAAAAAAGCCGAAAGAAAAAAGAACAGATAGTAAAGAGAATAACGAAGTGTGATATAATGGTTAGAATGTAAGTAATGCGTGGATGCACGTATACCACTGAGATGGATACGGATATATATTAAAAAAATTAATTCACCTGAGTAGTTTCTTGCTGATTACACAACTCTTCAATTCTGTATTGTAACTGACCAAGACAATCTTCCAAATCATGATGTTCGGGCACATTGCAGTACAACTGATGATTCGTACCTGATGACTGAACAACAGGAGTTGGCATAACATTTGGATTCAAACAATCCATTCTGTTTACATGTTCATTGCCAGAGGCAGTCAAACCAGTCATTAGAGATTGAGTACGATGAACTAGAGAGACAGAGTAAGATAAAAATATAAGAACAGATTAGTTTAACCAATTTAAAATAAATCTACAATATAAAAATGAAAATAAGTTACATAATGAGCCCAACTAACAACTAAATAATAATCATTTTACTATCTGAGCAGTAGTTCGCCAGAATAGTATTTATACTGGGTGATGATTGAAGGTGAGATGAAAATTTGAACCACGGCCGGATTCCAACCAGCAATCACCTAGTAGCTCAGTTGGTAGAGGATCGGGCCGGAAACCCGGTGGCCACTGGTTGGAATCCGGCCGCGGTCCGGATTTTTATTTCATCACCAATCATCACTTAGTATATATATATATATATATATATATATATATATATATATATATCCCTTAGATTTCAACACGATGCAAAAAAATAATCAGTTATACAACTGTGCAAAATTACTGTTCGTTCGATAATCCCAGACAAATGAACTGTTCTGAAATACTTTATCAACACTGAATATAATCAGAAGAACATCAATTCCAGCCTATTCGAAGAAAAATGTAGAAATGGGATGGTCAGAATCGGGAAATAAAATAAGAACTTAAAGCTTGGGAAACACCAAATAGTTGGCTACAATTACTTATTAGGTTTTCCTGCAGACAATTTATTATTCGAACGCAATCAATGTGTTTAAATCATTAAATGGAGACTTCTACAAAAATGAATCCGTTTGGACGCTCATTAAGATGGAATTTTAAACTCAACAACCCAGAAAGTTGCCAACGAAAGCGTATTTCTAGACTAATAAGAACTACTGATTATTACGTTAATCGATGATAAAATAATGTGACAGAAAATTATGACAGGACAACTTCCTATTCATAATATTATGGGAAGCCTAGTACCTGTTCTTTTATAACCAAACTCCAATAGATAGACTACATTAATTAAATGAGCTCAGAGAACACAATACAACTAAAATCATCTACCAGAGCTACAAATATTCTCCAACATTTGAAATCGCAAATAAATCTGCATTCTTCCATTGAACTATGCTGTACTGACATGACTTTTATTACTTGGGCACCTCAAAATGCTTGATAATCAACAATATTCCATAATGAGAACATACTATGCATTTTCACATAAGGTTTATGAAGTACTTATGCTAGCACCTCTGAAAAATTCCCAACAAATCCTCGAGGGATTAAAGATATTTCTCTTGGTTTTTATTGCCGTCGTCTACATAATTTGTTGGATACCGGTAGCAATGGTGGTTATTTAACGTAAAATAGGCATCTACTGTTTCACCATACCTGTGATAAAGCATTTAGTCGTTATAGGGTCAAGATGCCCCAGCAGTTATTATTGTAGACTTTGAAAAACAAGTTTTTCAACAGTTAACCCCGCTCCTCTGTAGCAAACACATTGTGGGATAGATAAAAATTTAGAAACCCAGAGAAAGTATTCATCTATCTGCAGAAGCAATGGTTTGCTTGCATTACTTGATGAAATTTCAAGTATCCGCAAGGTGTTATCATTTAGGCACAACTTAACAACTGTACACAGGTTTGTGCACTAGGTAGTGAGCTAAACCAACTGTAAGAAATTTGATTGTCTTACCCGGCTTCCTAAGCCTAGGCAGAAAGAGGAGGGTTCGAACCCACTGTTCAAGCAATAAATGTCAACTACCTAAACGATGAGGCGCAGTTTCCTAGCTGGTGTAAATGTCTTAAAAGAGGCTTACAAATTAACGACTCAAACTATATAACTACTTAGCAGCGTCAACATATCTAAAGGTATGAACTCTGAAAACATGGATTACAATTAATGTAACACACATCTTTATCCTGTCACTTGTTCCTAAAGTCAGATGTATGATAATGCTGAGTTGACAACTAACTAAAGTTTTCATCCATCAGAATTCAATTGTTGACGGTAATGTACACGACATGTGAGAACCAGTTTCTGGTTACAATTCAATATTTTTCAATTTTGAGTTTTGTAGGGATTCGTTTATTGATTTCAAGTTGCTGTTCATCATGGATTGACATCAGTTGGAGAAACATTGGAAACCTGGGAGTACTGAACACCTGCTCCGCCACAGGATGGGACTCTACAGTAGTGTGCACCCAAGACCCTACCCTCCAAGGCTTGAACCCGGGACCCTTAGGTTCCACGATCAGTATGCTACCATTGAGTCATTGGGTCGGAATCCAACTGTCCATATGTCCTACTTCTATCGATTCCAGATATGACGCGACCCCCACCCAATACCATCGTTGAGTAACTGTCCTCATGTCCAAATTGGTTACCCCTACCTGGTGGGGGCGTGGGTGCACACTGCTGAGCAACCTCGTGCTAAGATCAAACAGCTGTCCAGTGCTCCCAGGTTTCCAATGTTTCTCTAACTGATGTCAGGCTATGATGAATACCAACCTGATCATCAAACCCTTACAGAGAGTGAATTAATAAACTTGAAAAACAATATTATAAAAGCACACAGATTTAAAAGAAACAACAAAGGTTTAGGTTTGAAGCAGATCAGCTAACAGGTGGCCCTACTATCAATAAAAATGAAAATATCTACACTAGTAAGAATAACAAAGGAACACTTTTCAATCGTTTAAAAACAGTAATATTTCTAGTTCCGTAGATGAACACAAGGAAGGAAGGTAGAAATTTGTTACTCACGGAGAACTAGAGAATAAACATAAGATTCATAATCAGACAGAGACAACAAATGTACCAAACCAAAGCACCAAAATATGCATACAATATAATGACAATTACAAAGGCGAATATAAGTCCAGTAGGTCAGGGACTAATAATAATAATAATAATAGGTCTATTCTAGTCACTGAGTTGGGAAGCTAACTTCATAAATTATTTTCAGACATAAAAGTATCAAATATACTCCTTCAGTTTCTGGCTGCAAAACGTTTCATGGTAGATGTTAGTTGAATGGAGGCAATTACCAAGAAACCCTCCGTCTAGTTTTCGTGCTTATTGGCACTCGTCAGCAGGGTGTATCTGTAACCTCTGCGGAACTTATGTTCTGTCTAAGATTCAAACCCGTATCACTCAGTGTTGAAGTCAGAAATTTCGCCACTGAGCTATTTGGGCCGCGACTGATCTCATGTAGGGGTGGACTAGATACATTAATTAATTACTGGTTGCTGATCGAATTCTATCAAATGTTTTGCAATGTGGCCACCAGATTAGGTAGCTCAGCATCGCAATGCATTACAGTGGATGTTAGTTGGACAGAAACTGATAAAGCAAGCTGATAAGTCACAATTAAAAAACTTCACAGTCTTTGTACCAGTAAATAAATAACTAAAAATACAACATCCAGTCTGCAGTTAAATTCTTAAATTAATCTAGAAGAACCTGTACACAATAACTAAAGCTTTTTCTGACAGTGAATTTAGCATCTGAGTAGGTGAAAAGAATATATACAAGTCCTCAACGGCATATTTCACCAAATCAGACAATGAGATTTTAAAAAATCAGAATTAAGGGGAAAAAAGCATTTGCATCCAACTGATTACCGAAACTACATCATTCCGAACTCGTAAACAGAACAAGAGCACACAAAATACCGTTATCAGTGGGAACTAAATCATTCTATATGCAAAGAACCCACTGTTGATAAAATAGATTACAGCACACCAAATAATTATTCACTACAGTAAGTAAATTATTAAGCAACTTTTCTGAGTATGTTTTGAATCCTCATACGGAACGAAGGGAAATGTGAGTAACACCATTTAACAGTCTTGCACAACGTTTTCTACACGTCTAATGTTTGACGCTTCGAGATTCTCGTTGATTGCCTAAGATGAAGGCTGATTGACTAAAAAAACCAACGTAGAACTTCGCACAAAGGTGTATTGGCTCAAGTTGCCTCATTTCATAGTAGTACATAAAAAACAGGTGGATAGAAAAAGAGTCATATCAAAGTAGGCGAAGTTGCATGACAGAACAAACAATTTGAAGGTAATGTTTATGGCAAATATTCAAGCTTCAGAAGATATCAAGGAGTGAACACATCTATTCATTGTTACCGATTTCAAGCCATATTACTAATAGCCTTCAATTACTGATTTCATCTGTCTTGGTGACCCCAACCAGATAGTTTACGTCCCCCCACACGGTTTAGGCTAACACTAGGAGACTCAACGACTGACGTCATGTCTTGGTCTGACTACCCTAAACCCTCTTCCAACCTAATCCAACTTCTCCTAGTATGATACGTCGGGGTAGGGGGTGAATCAGCATGCGCAACGCATGTTCAAGCCATCTCAGTCGACCAACGTTCACAACTTCATCATCAATCGACTTGTCTGTCTTGCCTAGTACCCTTCACCTGACTTCAACATTGTTCATATGGTGATTCCACCAAATGCGAGTAATGCTATGAAGACATCTATGATCATGTTTTCTACTTTCAATGGCCATGTCTAACAGTCGTATAAAAGGAGAGAACGGACTATAGGGCATTTTACTCGTCCTTTGATAGTTAGTAGGATATCTCGCCAGTGGGCACCACAGATGACGCAAATTGCCAAATGTCAAACGAACCTTCTGTATCTCAGTTGAGATTTCGTTAGCAACCAGCCCGTTTGAGCAGATGCAACTTCCGAAGTGAAGTGATCGACGCATTCCACCACTTCATTCCCTATCATTAAACTGGGAGTACTAGGATGAAGAAAAGAGAATGAAGTGAACTCAAGTAAATGACCTAATAGATGTATACAAAATTCATAAAGTATTTCTATCACATGATAATGCCTACTTTATCAAGTCACATTTAGACGTATACAAAATATATTAACTTACAGAATGAAATTGAATTTCAAGAAAGTTCATATTTAAAGGAAAGAAGTATGCTATTTTTTATCAATCGAGCACTGTATATTCCGATTTACACCAACCGTCAATTGATTCGAAAGATATCAAATAAAATTGTGCTTCTGTAAAACAAATGAGAGCACCCACCCACTCATGCTCACACACACTTAC